TCCTCCCGAGGCCACGTCCCTCCGCACCACATCCACGAGGGTCTGAGCCCTGCACTCAGCTGGGGGCTCAAGGAAGGGTTCCCTCGGAGGGTCCCCGCCACACCCACTCTTGGGTGCGTCTCTTCCCACCTGAGCCCTAACTTTCCGGAGAAGCGCGGGACAGTGCCCTGTGGCGTTGTGCCCAACCCCAGCAAGAGCGCAGTCTGCCTCTGGGAGGGGGCTTGGCAGGGCTTTTCATGTTTGTCTCATTTTTCTTCTCTCCTTTTCCTTTCCAGAATTTTTAAATAACAGTTACTCCTCTGCTAAATCAGCTTTCAGGAGAAAACTGGTAAACACAGAGCACTTTCTGCTTATGAGACGTGAAACTCTGCTCTTACCAGCTTGTGCCCTCAGTGCCCGGCCAGGCCCTGTGCGGGGGGAGATGCCAGGCAGGGGCAGAAAATAGAGAAACGCCGGTTTGCTTCCACCCTGAGCTCTGTGGCCTTGGGACAGTCGCTTGCCTCTAGAGGACAGGAAAGCATCGCGGAGGGAGGTCAACACAGCGGCCGTTTCGGGGAATCTCAGAATCGTGTGTTCACCAACTGGGAGGGCAGGGATTTATGTTAATCATTTCTGTCCCCTCCTTGGCTCCTGGAGTCCAGGGTCATGGATCACCATGGTCCTCCCAACCCCAACAAATATGGAAAGCGCACAGACCAGTTAAACCAAGGTCACTCTGCTTTGTGCTCGAATTCCGTGCTCCAGCACGTTGGCAGGATCTCCACCTGAAATCATTAAGTCTGCGAGTCAGTGATTAATTTTATTTTATGTATTTATTTAGGTTTTCCTGAGCCAGGATCTCACTATGTGGTTCAGGCCGGCCTTGAACTCATGGCAAGCCTCCTCCCTCAGTCTCCTAAGTGCTGGGATTACGGGCATGGGCCACCATGCCCAGCAGTGATTTATTTTTATTAACAAATATTTAAAATGGGCAATTCATGACTGTGTAAATCTGCTTTAAAATATGTTGTCTACCAGAGGAAAATAGCAACAGGCAGATGACTACAAAGCACTTAAGAGTTACTGTTTCCACTGATTTGAAGATTTTTTTTCCAGCTTTAAAATCCAAAAATTCTACCCAGACACAGCCATGGCATGAATTTGCAAACATTTTTCAGGCACCCAACTAGTGGTTTAACCTTGTAAAATTCGACCTAAGTGAAAGGCATCCTGCGGGCTTCCTCATCTACCATGGGCTCCTGCAATGCAGTCGCTTTAGTGGACACACGGTGTCATTTAAAGGCATTAATTTTACCTCAGTACTCTTACCCATGAGCACAGAAGAAAATATCCTAACGCTATGCCCACTTCAGATAATATGAACGGCCACAGTAACAGCAATAAGGACGCCTGGAGGCAGCCCCTAGCTGGGCCCGAAGGGGTGCACAAGCGCTCCTGAGACAAGCTCAGGACTCCCAGCGCCCACCACCCTGAGCTTCCCGGGCACGCAGAGGGAGACACCGCCCTCTAGAGGAAGCAAACCAAACTCCAGCTCCACAATTGGCTCTCCCGGAGGAAAGCTGGCTACGGGTTATCCACCTCCTTGACAAAATAACCCAGCGAGGCCAGAATGTGTTGGAAATTTCATTTCTGAAAATTAACATAATTCGCAAAGAAAATCCTCTGTAAAAACCGGACCTGAAGCCCTCCCCTAAGAATTTGAGCCGGCCTTCACAGTGGCATGGGGCACAAGCCACGTCTTTTATTTAAATACAGCAGGGCTATGTCGAGCTTTTGCCATGGAAACCAAGAAAAATTTATGTGGAAACCAGGAAGAGGCGAGGCGCTTCCCCGCCTGGGGTGCAGCTCTCGGAATTAGCAGGAAATTTTGAAACCTCCATTTCTGAGTTCCTCCACTCAATCCCGAGCTCCTCAGCCAAACCCCTGGTAGGATTTCTAAGTGTCGGCTCGGCTTGCTCCTCAGGTCATCAGCTTCTCCTGCAGTGGGGCGTGTGTTTACAGCCCGCTTGTCCCAGCCAGGAGGCCACCGTGGAAAGGCCACCTGGTACAGTGTCCTGTTGAGATAGGACACCGCCTGCTCCTCCCCAGGAGACACAGGTTCTGAGCTCCTTCCACAAAGATTTGATAACTAGTTTCAAATAAAAGCTTTGCTGGGGAGATGGTTCAGCAGAATAAGTGTTTGCCTGGCAAGCACAAGGTCCTGAGTTCAATCCCCAGTGCTTTGCTAAAGTTGTTGACATGCCTGCTAGAAAGCCTCTGGCTGCTGAAGTCCTGAGTTCTGGTGAATTTTAAACCCTAGTCAGGAATTTCACATAAAAATGGGTGGTGACAGACGTCCTAGTAAAACCCTGCTTTATCTGAGTCCACTGAAGACTCAGAGAGGAGCGGGTGAAGTCCCAGGAGAGCACACGGCCTACTGCCAGGCAGGAAGGAGGTCCCACTTCAAGAGGCCTTCTGCCCTGGCATCTGCAAACTCTCCACCCAAGCTGAGGTCAGGATGCCAAGCCTCACGGGAAACTCCCATCCGTAATGGACAGGCCTAATCGGCAGTCAAGGGACCACATGGGTTTCCTCGCTCCATCAGCAGGGGTGTTCAGGTCTAACTGCCAGAACCACAAAAACCACTTACTATGAATCAGTAAGACACACTGAGATAAAGTACAATGTAAAGATCATGCTGAGCCAAAGAGGTGCCCACCAGGTGTGATGGTGCACAACTGCAGTCACAGAATTCTAGGAGACCAAGGCAGGAGGGTCACAAATAGAGCCCAGCCTGGGAAATGGCTATTTAACAAGACCTTGTCTTAAATAAAAAAAATAAGAAGAGCAGGGCATGTAACTCAGTGCAAAGGCCTTGGGTTCAATCCCCAGTACTGAAAAAAAAAAAATCAGAAGGATGCTTATGTTGCCTCCAAGACATTAGGACCCTAGGCTTAGCCCCCTCACCTCTGAGCCTTAACGGTATTGGGTGGGGCACACACATCCCCACAGGGCACAACCCTTAGGGGGCTCACTTCCTAGGGCTTCCCAGTCACCTCCCAGGAGGTACCTCAGCCACACCCTCCTGCTCCCAGGTTAAAAAAAAAACCCTAAGAATCACCTAGCTACTGAGCCCTGGTACACTGCCACATCCCCTGGGCATCCCAAGTTTGCTTACTGGTCTGTTGCTGCCATGAGGAAGGAAAACAGAAATAAACTTCATGTGATAAAAATTTTAATACAGATGTTCAGAACTGTAACCATTATCCCTACAGCTTCCATTTCTGTGAAATAAATCACCCCCCTCTCCAGTCCAAGCCTTTGCCATGGGCCAATCCCATGCCCAGGGCCCATGGGCTCGTGGTAACCTGGTAGGACACCCCCGGGGGACTTCGGTCACAGGGCTGACACTGCTCCCACTTCTACTTCTGTCCACCTTACTTCTCCCCCCACTAGTCCAAAGATTTTTAGGGTACTGAAAGCAACTTCCCTATTTGTGTTAATAAGCTGGAGAGCTAGCGTAGCGGTTTACGCAGCAGGCTCTACAGCGCGAGTTTGTTGGTTCGAGCCCCCGCCCTATTTGTGTTAATAGAGCAGTAGGAAGAAATTCCCCTCAAGGACAAATCAGGCACCACGCTGCAAATCCAGGAGTCCAGTGTCTGCACACAGCAGTCCCTCTCTCCCAACTGGCCCCAGATGCTGTGACCAGCTTGGCTACTGGCTCTGGGACCCCGAGGGAACTCAGTCCCTCCAAGCCTCTGACTCCTCATCCTTGAAACCAGAGTGGTGACATCCAGGGTGTCTCACTGAGACCCTCTTCTAGATCTGTCACCAGCAGCAAAGACCTCAAGGTCCCAGTAACCAGCCAACTGGTCTTCAATAGCATTTGGGCCAGGAACAATGTAATTTTTATTTTAAAGACATTTCTGTTCCACTTTTTAGTCTCTAGGATGGGTCCTCTAGAAAGCAGGGACTGTCTACCTATCCCGAGTGTCCCAAGGCACTGAGACTCAAGGTTCCTATCGAGTCAGTGTGGGGTGGCATGGGTCGAGTCTGCGCCCTACCTTCCAGGGACCGGGCCCCCTAGAGCCATGCCAGCTTGTTCTCGGGGCTCAGACCAGCATGGCGTTCATCCCTGGACTCACTGTGAAACTTAGATTTTGCTTCAGTCTCACTGAACGTCCAGGCCCTCCAGACCCCGCCCTGCCTCAGGGTCACCAGTCTTCCAATATAGTAGCTTGAAATCAAATTGGTCCCCCAGCAGGCTGGCAGCCACTGGTGAACAGGCGCCATCCCCAGGGACAGAGGGCCCGAGCCCCACTCTGGGTCTTCCCAGCCAGGTAATAGCCCTTGGCCCTCCCATCTTGGCACTGCCCAGCCAGGCCTGGCCTCAGCCGCACAGCGGGTGGCCCGATCGCCACACTCCACACTCCTCCTCTGCCCGAGCTGCTCCTTACGCAAGCCCTGAGGACAGAGCCTCCAAGAGTTACTTCAGATTCCTGAAAAGACGCATCCACAGTGGTCACAGCCAATCCTGCAAGCTAGAGTCACCCCGAAAAGCAACACATGCACCCCACAACCCTTCGCACAGTGGCCAGAGCAGGACCTCTCTGGCTGCAGCCTAGCTAGGGTCCCAAAGCGCCACCCGGAGAAAACCACCAACAGGTAGCTCTGTGAGCAGGCACTTCTGCAAGCAAAACATATTCCAGCCAGCTTGGGACAGGAGGGGACCACTTCCAGTAAGCCAGGAGCCCTCAGCACTGCCGTGGGGAACATGCAGGGCGCAGCGGTCGCCCACATACTCGAGGCTGAGAACCCAAGGTCCGCTACACTCTTGGACAACCCGTGACCTTCACTCCAGCCAGAGAAAAGACTCGGCAGACTTCCCCAGAAGCCTAAAAGCATGCACGGAGATCTGACAAAGAGGGTGATGGGGAAAGCCACTGAAGCCCACCTAAACCAGCCATGCCTGGCTTCCAGCTTTCCCTCTGCCCAGCAGAAGGCGGGGAAGGGGTGCTCACCCTGAGCAGACCTGAAGGCGGGTGTCCCTGGCTTTCGGATTCAGTTCTGTCAGACCAGAAGCATGTTTTCCTCTCCCTGGGTCTCAGTGTCTCCCCGCAGCCTCGCCCGCCCGGGCAGAGGGTCTGGACTCTCCAGGACAGAGCAGACAATCCTGCCGCAGCCTGCAGCCTGCGGAGACTGGAGCCTGGAGCACTGAGCGGCCGGTGAGGCTGAGCCCAGCTGGCCGGGGCCCAGGGGTACAGTCAGGGCTTCCTCGGCCCCTCCCCCTTCCCCGCCGCCCCTCCCTCCCTCCTCCTCCCCTCCTCCCCCAACTGTAAATGAAAACCAGACCCCAGCTCTGTTGCTTCTGGCCTCTGCTGCAAGCTGATGTCACCCCCAAAGGCTGTCTTCACCCTACAAGCGTGTAGCTGGACTCCTGCGAACTCCAGCTCTTAAAAAAGAAATCTGCAGCGCTTCTAGCCGGCACCTCTTGGGCAGGGCCCTGGCAGTAGGAGGACGGATTTGGGAATTTCTTCGCGGGCATCCATGGTTTGCCCGCAGTGTGTGCAGACACGATCTGAAAAGGCAAACAGGAAATGCAGCCCTCCACCCTCACCACACCCTCCCAGCGCTTCTTGAAGTTTCTGAATTCAGACTTCTAATAAGCTCTCCTTTCAAATATAAAAACCAGCAATTAAAATCCCCTCGGCTCAGCAAAGCCCCGTTTAACAGTGAAAAGGCAAAAAAGGAAACTCCTTTTTTAAAAAAGTTCTGTATATAATGGTTCTGATTATGAGGCTTGCTCTTATTCCAGGACACTCGCTAGGGGAAGAAAAGACGGTTATCTGACTAAGAGTTGCAAGAAAATTCTTTTTTATTGGTGTATGTTTGCCATACATATTAGTTACATTCATTTGGGGAAACACACAAGGTTACAGGCTCAAGTCATTTTTCTTCCAAATAATCTGAATTCATTTATGAATTCAGAATTCATTATGAATCCAAAGCTGCCTGCTCCTGCTTTATGGCTGAACAGTACTCTGCTATGTTAGACCACACTTGCGTTAGCCGTCCATCTGCTGATGGTGCTTCCGGCTCTTAGCTCTGTGGACCGTGCCGCTATAAACACGGGTGTGCACGGAGGCTGTCTGTTGGATGAGGTCTCTAACTCGTTTGGGAAGACACCAGGAGAGGAAGAGCTGGGGGGGGCACCCAGTTTTCATTTTTTGAGGAATGTCCAGTCTGATCGTCTTCCCTTTTCCCCATTATTCATGCGCAGAGTGAAATTGAGAAAGCTCTGAAGTCAGAACTTTAATTCCTACGGAGCATCTATCTTTCAAAGCTCTTTAATATACATATTTTGTTTCACAAACATCCTCTCCCCAAACCCTTTCAAATGGAGCTGATCCTCCTTTTCAGAGATGACTGGGGCTACTGTCCTCACCCTGCATTGGTGCAGAGGACGGATGGATCACAGCCCACCTTGGGTACCATCAAACTCACACTGGGCACACGCGAGAGTCAGTTGGTACAAAACTTCCAAAGACAAAAAAAAAAAAATTCCAAAGACATCTGCAAGATATTTTTGGCTTTGAGATCTTCCAGAAGTTCAACTTGAAGAGCCAGGAAATCACTAACTCCTCCCATGGGTTATTCCCTTCCAGGTTAGGGAGGAGATGGAGACAGCACCAGAGAACCCACCTGTACTGCACTTTTCCAGGGGTCCTGCCCTGCTCCCCAAGGGTTTGTCTGCAGCTTGTCCAGTTGGAGTAGAGACACAGACATGATGGTGGGGTTTCCCTGTACCACCTCCAGGGGCCACACTGTGCACATGACACACTGGGGGCAACACTCCCTGTGGCTCCCTTCTCTGGCATGGGGAACAGTGGGACCCTGGCCACCAGCCCTGGGGGCATCTCCCCAGGCACACTGTCTGCTGCACAGAAATCAATCCTGTTCCCCAGCCCCCACCCCCAGGCTGCCTGAGCCAGTGTAACATGCTCACACCCACTCCCATCCCAGGTCTCTTTTTCCGGATAAATACAACTTTGTTTTCAAAACAGCTAATTCGTTGGTGTGAGAAATCATTCTCATTTCCATAGCAAAGGTGATACATTATTTAAAACAAGATTTAAACAAGCAAAGCTGCCCTGCTCCCTAAGGAGTTGTGAGCATGGTTATGCTGGCAGACGCTTTGTGCAGCCAGGGTAGAGTTTTGTCTCACAGAAGAGAAGTGTGAGAGACTCCAAGAAGAGGCAGCTCCTCTATGACAGGGAAAGAAGGACTGGAGGCCCAGCTTAAGAGAGGGAGGGAAGTTTCCACTGACCCTGCAGCAGGGGGCAGCTGCGGCTTCTAGAGCCATCCCTGAGTGTGCTTTAAGCTTCCCAGGGGCAGAGTGGAAAGTCAATTCCTGCCTGGGGGCAAGGCCCCAGTGCCTTCCTTGCTGCTGACCAACCACAGATCTTGGGCAGCCGCTCAGTTCCATGTCCACAGGATGAGTGGATCCACAATGCCCAGGCTAGCCCAGCACCAGACCCTCAGCCTGGGGTACAGACGGCGTCCACCGCATCTGCCACTTGACCTCTCCTTCCTTCTCTGCTTGTCTGAGCGCTTTGGACTCTCTGCCTTGGATCTGGCCCTTCTTGGGCTCAGGGACAAGGACAGAGGATATGGGGTCCAGCTACCTTCCCTTCTCCCTGAGCACTGCATGTTGCAAATCTTTACGACTCACTTTTGCCGCACAGACAATTCTGTACAGAGCAATGTCTAAGAGCACAATCAGCATTCTACTGCAAACTGCTGCTGCGCTTAGGAGGACACAGTGTCCCTGGGTCACATGCCTGGGGCAGCTCTGCCCCTGTTTTGGGAAACACTCTTCACCTCCTGTCATCAGGAGGGTCACAGAGAGACACCATCTTCCTGCAGCCCCTTCCACCAACACCTACCCTTCAGGACCCAGGGACAAGGATTGCAGGCACGGGCCCTCCCCAGGGAGGCCTCCTTGCACCTAGAGCATCCTCGGCCTCTGCGGTGACCCTGGGTTTCCTGCTTCGGGCCCTCTTTATGCTGCAGCCTGCCCCAGGTCGTGGTCCTACCCCACACACACACAGTCAGTCTGTGGCTGTGGGAACCAACAGTTACTCATGCTCTGTGCTAATCTGAGCTCAGTTTCCACCCACCGTCCCGGCTGGTGCCCTAAGAAGACCTTCACAGAGTGGACCTGTGGGCAAGGAAGCCCTGGGCTGGAGGATCAGTGGGACTCCACACAAATCCCTTCTCTTCTTCCCGATTTTTTCTTATTTCTTTTCTTCTGCCATAATAAGAATATTCCCCATCCAATGTTCCTTGACTTCCCTTAGGGCCGTTCATCTAATCAAAGTGGACAGGAAGTGACGTTAAGATCACTTGTGACCGGAATACCTGAAGTGCA